GCCGCCTCCCCGCCCGCCGCCGCCGCAGTCGCCTCGTCAGCCTCTTCGACCTCATCTGACGAGCGCCGACGCGAGTCGGCCTGCCGCGCGCTGGTCGCCGACTCGCCGCCGCCGCGGCCCAAGCGTGAGCGCTCGACCCGCTTTTCCAAGCCGCCACGCGCCCCGTCCCCGGCCACGCGCATGTCGCTGCCGTCGTCGCCGGCGCGAGCCGTCCGCGGGAAGGTCGCGCGCCTGCTCGACTCGTATCTCGACCGCACCATTGGCGCCGCCGCGGATGACGACGACCACCCCGACCCGGACCCAGAGGACGGCCCCAGGGCCGCATCAAGTGTCGCTAGCACTGAGCCCGAGGCCGAGCACGCCGATGAGGTCTTCAGGCTCTTTGCAGATTCTAAGCCCGGCGCCGTTAAGGTGAAACCGGAGGGCGGCGCCAGTAAGAAGAGGAGGGTCGAGGAGAAGAAGCCCGTCGATCTCAGTGATAGTGATAGCGAAGAGGAGAAGGAACACGTGAAGAGGCTCCAATCTGTCGTCGTTGATATCAAGCCGCCGGAGGCTACCTAACTTGCTCGATTCTCCTTGACTACTTGCCTAGTAGTTCTCTCCTGGTCGAACAGAGTGTCTGAAGCGGCCGTACGACTATGTTTGATATCGCTCCATGGCTTGGGCATGGCGACGCTCGCCGTTGGGTCGGTTTGTACGGCTTTACCGGTGGAGAGAGCGCGCATTATGCCCGCCTAACTTTGCCTCCCGCCGCGCTTTATCCCACGCGGGGACCATGACACATCTGCTCCTTCTTCGTGTTATTTTCATTTCTCTTGTTGTATCCTGCAGTGTAAACTACAATGCAAGGGTATCCATCGCTAGCCCACTACTACTAACACTGTTCCGTTCTGACTATCTCTAACCCAAGCTCTCAGTGAACAACAGACGAATGCTGTAACATGTTGATACTACATGATGATCGTTATGTACATTGCTTATGAGTGCTGAGTTGTTATTCCATACGTGGTGCTTGTACAGTATCAACTAGGCCCTCACCGCATTCCACTCACTTTTCCGCGCTGGTTGACTGGCGTAATAGCTTTTGCTGTGACGTCATGTGGCGAAGCTTACGGGGCGATCGCCGCTAGCCGTCAGCTCTCACTCACCAGCCCAATATGTTCTCGCAAACATTCGACGACAACCCGCCCATTGTCATGCCGTCTGAAACGAGTTCGGTATCATCTGCTTCCCTGCCCGCGCCACCTCGACAAGTTCCGCACATTCCTCCCGCGACAACGTAATCTCACTCGCTGAAACGCTCTCTTCTACATGCTCTGCCTTCCTTACTCCCGTGATCACAATAACCCCCTGCGCCAAGCACCACGCAATAGCAACCTGCCCCGGCGTGCGTCCACCCTTCCTTTCCCCGATCTCCCTGAGCTTTTCCACCAGCGCCTCACTCCTCAGCGACCGGAACAAGACGGCGCGTGGCCCCCTCGGCGGCTCCCGCACATACTTGCCCGTCAGCAGCCCCAAGCAAAGTGGCGAGTAGCCAATCACGCCCACCCCCAACTTGTTGGCCGTCTCCAAAAACCCGTCCTCTGTCGGCGTCCTCATGAGCAAAGATAGCTGCGTCTGCGCGGTCGCGAGGCGCACCCCCTTCTCCTCGCGCAAATATTTGTCGATCCTCACCAGCTGCTTGGGCCCGAAATTGGACACACCAATCTCACGCACGTACCCACGCTCACGCGCCAGGGCGAGCCCGTCCCACAGGGCGCGCTCCTGCCACGGGGCGTACTTTGACGCGCTCCAATGAATCTGGCCCAGGTCGACCGGGCGCCCCAGGCGCTCCGCGGAGCGCGCCGCGGCGGTCGCGATGGAGTCCGGCGTGAGACGCCAGGGGTAGGACGCAAACTTGGTAGCGATGATGACATCCGAAGTGGGGAGCGGGCTGTCAGCGAGAAACTTGCCCAGGAGAATCTCGGCGCGTGCGTTAAGGTTGCCGGTGCCGTACGAGTCGGCCGTGTCGATGAGGTTGACGCCCCGCGCAAGGGCGGTGTCGAAGGCTTGCTGCAGGGCGGCGTCGTCGGTCGGGGAGTACCCGAAGAGAAAGCGGTTTCCCCAGGCCCAGGTGCCCAGGCCCACTGGGGTGACGGATGGGAAGGGGCCGAGCGGGCGGGGGGAGGCGGAGGCCGTGGCGCGGCAGCGGGCGCGGCGGCGAGACGGGCGTGGAAGTTGGGAACGGCGTGAGCGAGGGGAAGGGAGGAGTCGGGGGCTTGGGAGGATGAAGGATGGGGTTTGAGGCATGGTTTTTCTTGTGGTTGGGAGAGTTTTGCAGAGTCCAATTGTCCTCAGCAGACGGCGAGGGTCTGGCGAAGGAGATGAAGCAGAGGGATGGAAGTCAAGGAGGACGGTGCGGAGGTGGTGCAGGTCGTTTGAGCTACACGTAACGCCCGAGTTTGATACAGCACTTATAGAGCAGTGTAATTGGCTGTGCCTTTAGCAAATCTGCACCACTGTCGTGGGCACTGTACAGCGAGGACAGTGTAGAAATACTGAAAAATCAGGCAGGAAATACAGTAAAGGGGGGGTCCGCCAAATATGAAATAATTCGAAGGATAGAGCCTCTACAGTAACAGTACCAGCCCTCAAAGTCAAACGACCGCCCTCAAAGTTAAACGACAATAAAATTATTAAAATTTTGGAAAACAGTGCTTAGTTGCTTTCAAAGACGGGTTTCAAGTAGGTAAAACGCCATAACCTGGACAGGCTTCAAATGCAATAGCCAGGAAGATCCCGGATTTGAATTCCCCGCCCAATTTTAAGGCAGGGCGCAAAGGCGCATGCGAATCATTTGAGAGGGGGTAGTACAGTACCAATGTAGCACCCTCATTATCTTTATCCCCATCCCTATGTCCACGGTCTCCCCAAGAGACATAACAACCCCTGCTCACCATGGCTCCCTCTCAGGCTTCCGCCCAACGACGACTTCAGGCTTTGCTTAATACTTTCGATGCCTTCGAGACTGGCTTGTCACTCACAGACGCGGCGGGGCGCGTGGGCATGGCTCGTAGCACGTTCTACTACAAATACCACCATCGATCAACCGTTATAAAAAAACTCAACCACCAGCCCACATTCCTTAGCACCCAATTTACAGAAAATGAAGAAGCAACCATTGTATCTCTCTGTCTTCAGCATTCGGACAAAGGTCACCCACTCAGCATTTCTGACATAAAAGATGCCGCAGAGATCATCATCTCCATTATGTCTCATGAACGTCGTGCGTCACTTCGCTTCGTTAATGGTCGCCCAGGCGAGAAATGGGTAAAAGTATTTAGGAAGCGAAATATGAAGAAGATTTTTTTATCGGGGGACCTTCACCGCAAGAGGCGAAGCGGTGGTCAGCCACAAACGCAACGGCCTTGACGACACACATTTCCTCGGTTGAGCACATTATTAAGACAAACAATATCCCACCTTCACACATAGCAAATCTCGACGAAACAGGAGTCACCCCTAATCGCGATACAAAGGGAAAGCTCACAGGAAAAGTGGCGATGAGGAGAAGCGTGCGGCCGATGGGTGGTAAGAATCAAGTGAGATCGGCACATTTCAAGAATGTGGGCCTTGTGACAATGATAACTGTTGTGTTTGCAGATGGCGGGTGCGGGCGACCTTTGTTTGTAGTTCAGGGGCGGACGTTACCCTACCGAATATTTCACGTTAATGGAGTGCGTGCGACTCAGTCTTCGGCAGATTGTTTGCCGAGCAGCAGCTACATTACTACTCGCGAAGATGTAGCAGGGGTTGACAAATTCAGTTTCGAGAGATGGGCAAGCGACTTTGGTCTGGAATGTCGATCGAAAACGAGACATGGACAGAAAGTCTTTTTACTTTATGATGGGTATAGAAGTCACATGAGCTTAAAAGCCCTTGACATACTGAAGAGGAACAATATAATTGCGTACGCGCTACCGTCACACACAAGTGCAACTACACATCCCTTGGACTTTTCAGTGTTTAATTCTTTTTTAAACATTTTATGCGAAAGAGTATTGCGGCTGCCGCCAAGTCTGTTGATGCTACCAATTACGACCTCTTCGACCTTCGCATTTTTATGCGTGGCGCGTATGACCGACCGTTTACAAGGGAAAACATACTGTCTGCCTTTGCGAGGACAGGATTTAATCCAATTGGTGCCGGGGATGTGCTGTCCGTCTCCCGTCCTGTTTCGAAAAGCGCACCATCTATAATGGTCAATGTTGAGTCATTGGCGTCATTGTTAGAAAAGAAGAGATGTAGTATTCGAAGGGGTATGCTCTTACAAGTTCCCGTGTTACGGCACGGGTTTGTGGATACCAGTACTGGTTTAAATTTAACTAATGAGGCTGCCATGAATATGGTGAG